AGAATAATGATGAATCTGCAATACATGTCACAATACGGACGAATCTTATGCTGGAGGACATTATGCTGAGTGAAATTAGTCAATCACAAAAGGACAAATATTGTATGAGACCAGTTATAAAAAGGTAAGAAAATATTTTCTTAAAGTGAATAGAGGTAAATACTGTTAACTGTTGGTACATGGAGGGGATTGCAATCATCGTAATGAAGAAAAGCATATGATCTGCTGAATGTAAAATGATGATCTGCTCTGTAAACTGTCACTCAATTCACAATAAAAAGTTAAAAAAATCTGTCATGAATATATAGTTTTTGCTCTTGGTCAATAGGTAAAATCCTAAAATGTGCAATTACCAGTTTAATTGGTTGCCATGGGCAGTTGTGTAATTTTTACTTCAGAAGAAACATGTTTTTTTTATACAGTGTTGTTGTTAAGTGCCGTCGAGTTGGATCTGACTCATGGCAACCCTGTAGAGGGTTTACGAGGAGCGGCTATTAAGTTTGAACTACCCACCTTGTGGTTCAAACCAACCTTGAGGTCAAGTGCTTATCCTATGGTGCCACACCAGGACTATAATTAATTGTCATTTAGTGTCTATTTGAGAAAGTAGTTGACTGTAATGATTGAGTAATTAATCCTCTTAATCAACTCCATTCTTTCCTTTTAGTAAAATTGTGTAGTCATCTAAGAAATTAAAAAAAAAAAGTTATTTCCTAAGGTCATATTTTATCTAAATAACAGATTGGTTCATAAAATAAAGACTATCATTCATGAGTATAGCGATCCTTTAAAAAAGCATCTAGATGAGCTCAAACAGTCAACATTTACTCTAAAGCAAAGATGAGACGGCTAGGGGGCAGGGAAACTGGAAGACTGGAAATGGGACAATCAGAATGGAAAAAATGAGAAAGTTGAGAGGCTGATAAATGTAACCCATGTCATTAAAAATTATTAAATGGGAACTTAGTTTGCTGTGTAAACTTTCACTCAAAACAAAATTACTATTTAAAAATTAAAATGAATGAAAGAAAATAAATTGTGATATGCAATCAACTATGTGATTTTGACATACAACTTGGAAAGGGTTGTACTTGGAATTGAGTGACCTGTTATAACCTTTCCTGACACAGAAAACTAATATGGTCATTAGGTACTAAACTCTGAGATCAATCATTTTACCGTGAAAAATGAGTTAGCTTACTGGAGATGTGAGAGAAGAGGAAGGGCTCTTGGTCAATAGGTAAAATCCTAAAACGTGTAAAATGTATAAAATCCTAAATGTGAGACCTGGGGTCTCCTGAGCCAGGGAGGGCCAGAGCTGAGAGTGGAGTGTCCAGCTGATAATGAAGTGAGG